TTTTCGGGGTCCCCGAGTCGATTTTTGGGCTCCTGAACCCCGAATTTTGGTTGCCAGGTTCTGTGCCGAGCGCCTGCACTCCCTGCTCAGGACCTTGGCCCTCCCCGACGTCGCCGATTTCTCCCCCATCACCCTCGTGGCCAATTTCGCCACCTTGGTCAGCACCTACAGCAAAGGTGAGGGGCCCAAAAAAACCCCGAAATTCGTCCCAAAATTCACCCCAAAAATTACAAAAAAGGCCCCAAAAATTCCCCCTTAAAAGCACCGAAATTCGGCCCAAAAAACCCAAAATTCGCCCCAAAAAACCCCAAAATTCGCCCCAAAATTCACCCCAAAAATTACAAAAAAAGCCCCAAAAAATCCCACCTAAACCCACCAAAATTCGCCCCAAAAAACCCCAAAATTCACACCAAAAATCCTAAAAATCGCCCCAAAAAATCCCACCTAAAAGCACCAAAATTCACCCCAAAAATCCTAAAAAATCCCCCTTAAAAACCCCAAAATTCACCCCAAAAATCCTAAAAATCGCCCCAAAAAATCCCACCTGAAAGCACCAAAATTCACCCAAAAAATTCTAAAAAATTCCCCCTAAAACCCCAAAATTTGCCCCAAAAATCCCAAAATTCCTCCCAAAAATCCTAAAAATCTTCCTGAACCCTTGGTCAGCACCTACAGCAAAGGTGAGGGGCCCAAAAAAACCCCAAAATTCACCCCAAAATTCACCCCAAAAATTACAAAAAAAAGCCCCAAAAAATTCCACCTAAAAAGACCGAAATTCACCCCAAAAATCCCAAAAATCATCCCAAAAAATCGTCATAAAAACCGTCAAAAATCTGCCTCAAAACCCCAAAATTCATCCCAAAATTCACCCCAAAAATTACAAAAAAAGCCCCAAAAAATCCCACCTAAAAGCACCAAAATTTGCCCCAAAAATTCTAAAAAATTCCCTTTAAAAAGACCAAAATTCGCCCCAAAAATCCCAAAATTTCTCCCAAAAATCCTAAAAAAAACCCCAAAAAAACCCTTAAAAATCCCCCCTAAAAACCCCCAAATTCACCCCAAAAAAT